AGAAGGGACCGCCCATCAGGGTGTCGTGGGGGTCTGAGGGCTTGGGGACCAAGAAGGGACCGCCCATCAGGATGTCGTGGGGGTCTGAGGGCTTGGGGGCCAGAGAAGGGACCGCCCTTCAGGGTGTTGTGGGGGTCTGAGGGCTTGGGGACCAGAGAAGGGACCAGAGGGCCTAACTTCTAGGGAAAGGCTGAGATTTGCTGGAGGGCAGTGAGTGTGGTGGAGGTCTGGGCATGGCAAGCCTATGTTCTGGAAGGTGGGCAAGTGGACGAAGGTTGTTTTGGGGGTGGGGGACGTGCAGGACCTGCCCCCCAGCTGCCCGTGCTGGGGCTCTATGACAGGAATGTTATTTTTGGAGCTCGCTGCCCCCCCCCCCACTCCCCTCCCCTGACTCATGGGGCACAGGGCCCCTGGCGCCGAGATAGCTTAAAGCGCCCACTGTCTTGTACCCAGGAGAGGCAAGGAGTGGGTGAGGGCCCTTTGGTCACTAAGCTCTCCCCGCCGTCCTCCTTTACAGAAGCCCCTCCAGTGGCTTCCCCTGGCAGAAGCTGGGGCTGGCTTCCGGGAGCTGTGCTCAGGGACAGCAGAGGCCCCTGGGCCTGGGGAGGCCCACCTGCCCAGGGACAGCCCTCAGGGTCTGAGTCTTCTGGGCAGGCCTGCCGGGTGGCCCTCCCAGTCCAGCGTGGACCCCAGGATTGCCTCCCCCCACCGCAGGGCTGGAGTTCGAGCGCTGGCTCAACGCCACAGGCCCCCCACTGGCGGAGCCAGACCTGTCTCAGGGATCCAGCCTGACCCGGCCAGTGGAGGCCCTCTTCCAGCTGTGGACAGCAGAGCCCCTGGACCAGGAGGCCGCCTCGGCCAGCACCATTGACATCTCCAAGTGGAGAACCTTCCAGACAGCGCTCTTCTTGGACCGGCTGCTGGACGGGTCCCCGCTCCCCCAGGGTGGGTCCCTGTGCCCCAGGATGGGGCCCCGTGCCCCAGGTGGTCCCTCCCACCCCCATTGCCCCAGCTGGGTCCCCACTGCCCCTGGTGGGTCCCTGCTGCCCCCAGGTGGGTCCTTGCTGCCCTAGCGTGAGTCCCCACTGCCCCTGGTGGGTCCTTGCTGCCCTAGGGTGGGTCCCCACTGCCCCTGGTGGGTCCTTGCTGCCCGAGGGTGGGTCCCCGCTGCCCCCAGGTCGGTCCCCACTGCCCCCAGATGGGTCCCACCTGCAAGGGGGGGTAGGGGTGAGGGATGGTCAGCCGGGGAGGGGCGGTGCCTGGTCGATCCTGACCTGCCGCAACCTCAGAGGTAGTGACAAGCCTGTCCAAGTGCTACTCGTCCCTGCTGGACTCGATGAACGCCGAAATCCGCATCCGCTGGCTGCAGCTGGTGGTCCGCAATGACTACTACCCCGACCTGCACAGGGTGCGGCGCTTTCTCGAGAGCCAGGTACGCCACCTGCAGGCCGCCCCTGGGCGGGCCACTACCTGCCCCCGCCTCCGCGGCCCCTCCCATTGCCCACCTCTATCCCTCCCTCTGCCCACCGCCGTCCCTCTTACCGCCCTCCCCACTCCGCCATCCGTCCCTCTGCCCGCCCCCCACCATCCCTCCCTCTGCCTGCCCCTGCTTCTGCCATCCCGTCCCGGGTCTGGAGTCTGAGCACATGTGTTGGGGGCCCAGAGCATTCCAGAGAACAGGGTAGGAAGAAGGGCGGTGGGGATTGAGTGTGGGGGAACGAGCCAGGTGAGAAGGGCATGGGGTCAGGGCGTCACCCCGCTAGTTTTGGAGAGGCCATGGCCGGGAGGGGACAGGCTGGGAGCAGGAGTCAGGGTCTAGGCCCACAGCAGGTCCTGGGCCTGCAGTAGCGGACTTCCTGGTCTGGCCACTAGGGAGCGTCCAAGCTCCTCGGGCAGAGGCCTGAGGCGCCCAGGCCTGCTCCACACACCCTAAGTCCGGGGTAGCGCCCCTCCAGTATAGAAGTCCTGAGAGGGAGGTGCTGACAGTGGTTCTGGAGGGCGGGGTGGGGTGGGGCTGACAGTGGTTCTGGAGGCTGGGGTGCAGCACGGGAGCAGGGTGGGGGCGGGCAGACTGAGCGCCGGCCCGCTGCCGCCCACAGATGTCGCGCATGTACACCATCCCGCTGTACGAGGACCTTTGCACTGGCGCCCTCAAGCCCTTCGCCCTGGAGGTCTTTTACCAGACGCAGGGCCGGCTGCACCCCAACCTGCGCAGAACCATCCAGCAGATTCTGTCCCAGGGCCTGGGCCCGGGCGTGGAGCTGGCCGCGGAGCCCGGCGCGGAGAGGGACGCGGGCGCTGATACGCCGGCTCTGCTGCTCGGTGACGAGGCCCCCGGCAGCGCCATCTCTCTCAGGGACGTCAACGTGTCTGCCTAGCCCAGTGCAGGCTGCCCACGATCTCCCAGACACCACGATTGTGCCTTCTGGGGCGCAGGCCGTTGGGACTGCACTCAGCTCCCTGCGAGCTTGCCGGCCCAGGCGACTACCCTCAGGCTCACCCAGGCCAGCAGGGAGCGGGGTGTGGGCACATGGCGAGGCCGGCTCTCCTGCACTGCAGGCCCGAGCGGCGGCCACCAGCGCACCCATGCCCTCCCGTCCCCACACTGAGGCCACACCCAGCCCGGACTCCGGCAGGAGCGGTAGGCGTCCACACCAGAGCTGCCCGGGTGACGGACCCCCGGACCCCGGCGACCGCCACACTGTGCCTTATGTCTGCGGGTGGCACGAGCTGCGCTTCCCGCAGAGCCTCGGCAGGGCCCGCCTGGCAGAGGGCCAGGGATGCAGACGTGCCCTCTGTCCCCCGTGCTCCCGCAGCTTGGGGACAGGAACACCAGGGAGAGGCTGCACGCCCCTGGGGAGGGGCCCCGGGCCGAGGAAAGCCTTAGCCCCTCAGGGAACCAGGGTCCAGGCCCCGGGGAGTGTGGGGCTGCCAGGGTGGGTGGGGCGGGGCGGGCACACGGGCGAAGCAATATCGCAGGGAAGGGTTAGGTGGCGCTGGTGCTCTCCTTAGGCCACCGTGGTGCAGAGGCACCCGGATGGGGTCTCCAGGGACCGCCGTGATGAGCACTTCGAAAGGGCCCCACACTGTGCCTGCGGCATCACTGGGATCATCCCATTAAACCTTCACTCTGCAAACCTGATCTCCCTGTCCCTGCTGTCCCGACTTCTGTCCTCTGCATCCACCCAGGACCCCTGGGGTGGGGCTGTCTGGTGGGGGACATGGGCTGACAGCTGGTCACAGCCAGGAAGCGGGATGTGTTCATGGAGCCCCTCTGATACAGAGGGCTCTAGCAGGGGCAGGGAGATATTGAATGGGGCTGAGCATCTTCCCAGCAGTGCAGCTCCTCCAGGGCCTCTGAGAACAGGGTCTCTGTGCGGGCCCAGCAGCACCTGGGTGTATGAAGACCAGCAGCAGGCCTTCGTCATCCCCCACCACAGGACTTCTCAGGCCCTTCCCCAGCCCCTAGCAGACTGCTGGGGCTAGGCCTGGCCTCCCATGGATTTTTACCCAGATCGGACCAGATGGGGCCGCTTGTTACCACCCTTTTGCTTTGTGACTGGCCAAGTCCTGGCCTCAGTGAGGGCTTGCCAGGCCTGTCCTGGATGTGTGCTGTGTACCCTCTTCCAAGGGCACTGACCTACCATCCTTGGACACTCTGGCCAGGACCAGGCTGGTTTCTGCCTGGCCCCCTGTGACCACTGGTGCACTGTTACTTCGTTTGGCTTTCCCGCCTGGAGGACAAGGACAGACCCTCGGCCTCCTAGGGTTGGGTGAGAAGAAAAATGAGGCCCCAGGCTGCTGGGCAGCCCCTAGACAGCTGGCCCCAACCAGGCCCAAGGGGTTCCCCTGGGGTCAGGGTGGGTGCAGTGGGTGTGAGCCCCCCAGCCCTGAGGCAGAGCCCCTCTGGTGACACTAGTAGGGCATCCCCACCCCCGAGGGGTCCTCCCTGTAAGTGCCCAGCAGCTAGGCTGTCTGTTGGAAAGCAGAAGTGACCCTCTCAGTTTAGAAAGAGCAGAATGAACAGGTGGCAGGAATGACAGAATCGGTTTTATTTCTAGGTCGGGCTGGAGAATGTGGCTTGGACTCAGGCCAGCGTGACCTTCCTGCCCTTCCATCAGAGTGGAAAGACAGACCCTCCCTGTCACCAACAGGGCAGGTGTCCCAGGAGCCTACCCTGGAACCCATCTGAGGCTGGGAGGGGGCCAGAGATGAAGGCCACGGCTGCCCTCACAGAGCCCATAGCCTGCTGGGAGGATGGACATGAAGGCCCATGGGGGTGCTGAGCAGTAGTGAAGTAAGCCCTAGCATCCCAGGGAGAGGTGTCTGCCCATGTGGTCCTCTCCTTTTCTGGAATCCCATCAAGGAGATGAGTGGCCCTGGGCTCCCAAACCTGGAAGCTGGTGTTGGTGGGGTCAAGGCAGCAGTGCCATGCCATTCACAGCTGCCACCCATCTGGGCCCAGCCTCTCAGAGGGAGGAGCTGCAGCTGTTGCTCTGAGCAAGCGGAGGTCAGGGGTAGGACCCCAGATCCAGCTTCTCTTTCAGCAGTAGGGACCTTTAGCATTTGGCGGCAGAAGGGCTTCGATATGACCTTCCTTTCTCAAGGCTGGGTGAAAGTACCCTGAAGATGCAAACATCTGAGAAGGCCCAGGAGCTGGTGGAGAGCTACCACTACAAGGGTTGGGGTCCCGGTCCCCCTCCCCTCCCTGCCACAATGAGGCTGGCTTGGAGGGGCCAGCAGGAGAGTTGTCTCTGGCTGGCTGCCTTCCTTCCAACGGAGACAGGGAAGGACAGGATCCCGCAGCAAGGGTGAATCTTTGCTATGTCCTGAAATCACTGTCCTCGCCACCCCGCAGCACTGAGCGGCCACGAACTGTAACTGCACGTTTAGCCAGCAGGACTACAGGCCCGGCCATCTGGGGACCAGGAGGCTGTTCAGCGGGATGCTCCCTCCCGCCTCACCCCTGCTCTCGCTGGGAATCCGGCGCATCTAGTACAAAATCGCCGAACTCCTGGCCCGGGAGGGACCCTCCCCGGGTGCCGTTATCATTCCCCAAGTCCCCAGCCCACAACCACGGCAGCGGCGGCCACCAAAGCTGCGCTTTACGGCTTGTTCCTCATCCGCACCTCCCAACAACTGACGCCCGCCGCGTTCCCAGAACACCGGCAGCGTGGCCGAACCGGCATCAGGGCGCCGGAAGGAGAGACGCATTCTGGGAGGCCGCGCTGCACGCTGGGTCTGTAGTCCGCGGCCCGGCTTCTGCCTCCTGAGATCCCTTCAGTTCCAAGAGCCCGCCAGTCTCAGCGCCCCGACGACCGGCTTGAAAGACTCTATCCCCAGAACAAGATGCCCGACTGCGTTCCACGTGTGAGCCTTAGCCGAGATCACTCCAGCTCCCCGCCAGACCCCGGAAGCAGAAACCCCGGGGAGATGGCGCAATGTCGCGAGAGCGAGCTCAAGAGCCCCGCCCCTTGGGCGGACCGCCGCGCGGGGTCGGGGCGGGGGTTGGGCGGGCTCGAGTGCGATTGGACCGACGTGTCATGTGACGCGGAGCGACGCCTCTGGTTGGCTGCAGCCTACCTGCGGTTACCCGCGCGACGGAGCTGCAGGCTCCAACGGCGGGTGGCTAGCCCGCAGGTTTCGCCGGGCTGAAGGGCTTGGCTGGGGGGGTGGGGTGGGGGAGGGGAACAGCGGGGACCGGCTAGGGCCCCTCCAGGGCCGCGACCCCGAGTCCACAGGCTTGGGGCGCCCATTCGGCCGCGATCGGTGCGGGCCGCGAGCTGCAGATGGGAGCCCGGGGCGCCGAAGATGCGGGCGGATGGGCGGAGACGCCGGCCCCTGAGCTTTTCCGGGATGCCGCCTTCCCAGCCTCGAACGCCTCTCTCTTCTTCAACTTCTCCACGCCGCTGGCCCAGTTTCAGGAGGACTTCACGTGGCGGCGGCCCCAGGTGGGCCGGGTGGGCGCGGGCAGCCGGTGCCAGGCCAGGGTGCGGGTGGTTGTGAGGTGCCGTGGAGTCGGTTCCGACTCATAGCGCCCCTGTGAACAACAGAACGAAACACTGCCTGGTCCTGCGCCATCCTCACAATCATTGTTACGCTTGAGCCCATTGTTGCAGCCACGGTGTCAGTCCATCTTGTTGAGAGTCTTCCTCTTTTTCGCTGACCCTCTACTTTACCAAGCATGATGTCCTTCTTCAGGGACCGATGCCTCCTCATAACATGTCTAAAATATGTGAGACACAGTCTCGCCGTCCTTGCTTCTAAGGAGCATTCTGGCTGTACTTTTTCCAAGACAGATTTGTTCATTCTTTTGACAGTCCGTGATATATTCAATATTCTTCCCCAACACCGCAATTCAAAGGCGTGTTTTTGCTCGGTCTTCCTTATTGTCCAGCTTTCGCATGCAGGAGACGATTGAAAACACCATGGCTTAGGTCAGGCGCACCTTAATCCTTAAAGTGATATCCTTGCTCTTCAACACTTTAAAGAGATCTTTTGCAGCAGATTTGCCCAAGGCAATGCGTCGTTTGATTTCTTGACTGCTGCTTCCAAGGGTGTTGATTGTGGATCCAAGTAAAATGAAATCCTTGACAACTTTAGTCTTTTCTCCGTTTATCATGATGTTGCTTATTGGTCCAGTTGTGAGGATTTTTGTTTTCTTTACGTTGAGGTGTAATCCATACTGAAGGCTGTGGTCTTTGATCTTCATCAGTAAGTACTGGAAACGTCTTTCCAGGGCTTCGCAGGTGCAGGGGTTGGAGCGGGTGGGAGCAGCGGAATGGGCAGTCGGGGTCTCGGCCACAACAGCCATTCCGAACTCATCAAACGCAGGATTGGCTGCCTGTATCTGCAGACGTGGTTTCCGGGTGCCCTCTGCCCCTCTTTCATAGCTCCTTCTCAAGCCCATTCAGGATGTGCCTGACCCTAGCCTAACCTATAAGGACAAGAAATTAGGTCATGGCCCCCGCCTTTGAGAACTGGTTTAGAAGGGAGGAATCCTTGGCTGGCACAAACAGTTAACTGCTCGGCTACTAGCCAAAAGGTTGACAGTTGGAGTCTGCCCAGAGGCGTCTCAGAAGAAAGGCCTGGCGATCTGCTTCTGAAAGGTCACAGCCTTTAAAACCCTATGAAGCAGTTCTACTCGGCACACGTGGGGTCATCATGAGTTGGAGTCAGCTCCATGGCAACTGCCAACAACAAACAGTCTAGAAGGAGATTCAAGGCCCAGTGAGAGAGGCGTTTTAACAGCCACAGACCGAGCCCCACTTCCTTGCTCTGCTCAGGAGAGCATCCAGCCATACTGGGCCCTGGGTCTCATGATTGTTCTGGCCACCAACTGGCCATTCTGTTTCTAGTGTTTGCTTTGCCACAGGGGCAGTGAGGTCCTCTCAGGCTCTTCTCCAAGGGCCAGACTTGAGCCTGCAACCAAGGCTGCGGTGGGTTCTGTTTTGGACTTCATGCACCGCGTTTTCCGTTGTAAATGTTTTAAGATGGCAACTTAAAGGAACGCTGCATCCTAGGCTTATACTGATATTTTCAGCAACGGTTTATCTGCTGCATAAGACCGCCCAGGGACACCCTTGCTGCCCTGAGTGGCAGCAGTCTTATTGGGGACATCGGATGGTACCAGCCCTTGACAGGAGCCAGGTCAGCTTGGCTCTGGTGACTGAGATGGCCTGAGAGGCAGCTTCGTTTCCTTGGACAATGCTGAGAGGGCCTTTTTGGCATGAGAGGAGGCCAGGTCCAGAGCTTGAAGAGCCTTAAGGCATTCAGGGTTTATTTTATTAAGAAATTATTTTAGGCACAGTGGGGGGCCGTTAGAGGGTTCTTAGGGGACTACAAGTTCCTGAGCAGTACAAATGATTCAAGTTCCATAGGTGCCTCGGAAGAAAGGCCTGGCGATCTGCTTCTGAAAAGTCAGCCACTGAAAACCCTACAGAACACAGTTCTACTCTGACACACATGGGGTCACCATGAGTCAGACTGACTTGATGGCAGCTGGTTGGTAGGGAGTAGCTTGATGGAATTTGTCTGAAGAGGCTCACTCTTGCTGCCAGCTGGAAACTGAGGCATCAGACAGGAATGGAAGCAGCTGCTGCAGTATCCTGGAGAAGCACGGAGGTGGCCCAGATTAGTGTGACAACGGTCAGGATCAGGCTTTGGCATAGCTCAATTTGAGAAATGTTGATGGGTCTTAGTGACCAATTGGCAATAGAAGGTGAGGACAAAGGAATCAAGCATGATTTCTGGATTTCCGTCCTGAGCAGCTGGGTTTACTGTGCTGAGGGACACTGTGGTGGAAATGGAGGGTTTGCTCTTACACGCTCAGGTGAGCAGGTGGGTTGAGACTTGGAGCTCAGGAAGGTGAGGATGACAGATGCTCACCTGGGACTCAGCGTGCCTGGGGGTTCCCAGGCCTGGGTGAGAGCACCTTGC